GACCTGATGCCAGGGACTTAAGTGGAGAGCAAATGTTTTGAGAATGATGAGGGCAATGAATGTACAAATGTGCTTTACACAATTGATGTATATATGGATTGTGATAAGAGTTGTATAAGCCCCCAATAAAATGATTTAAAAAAAACAGAGTCCTAAACCAATTGATAACTGATCTAATCAGAACTTTTTAAGAGGAGTGGGGCGGGGGAGCTTGGAAGTCCACATTGTAATGACACACTTCACTTGGTTCTGTGTACAGTCTAAGATTTTGAGTTCCATGCCTGTAAAGTCCTCTGGGTGAGATTATGAAACTAGGGGGGTTGGGGAATTGTGGACTGGGGGGAAGGAAGCATTCATCTGAGTGGAGTTGGCGATGTGAAACTAATCTACAGCGTTTCTTCAGCCCTTCTTGAACTGGGGCTTCTCCCAGAAGGCGCTACCTTTCCAGAAATTGCCACAGATAGCAGAGTTGGGTCTGGGGAGCTAGAGCAGGCCTCTGCAAAGTCATTCGAGGAGGGAAATTTCCCCGTAGATAGTTTGGTTAAGTCAAGCCATTGTTCTGATGGAGGATGAGGAATGAGGGGCCACTGTTGTCTGGGTTGGGTACTATCTAAAGATAGATACCAGCCTGTCAGGCAAGAAAGTCACTTGGATTTTCATCTGAGTTTCCATGGCTACAGGCTCATGTAACTGAGCTTTCCCTCGCTGCTCTTGAGGACCAGGCTGGCAGTCAAGTGGAGGCTAATCGTTCTCGTTTTCAGTGACGGCTTAATTACTTTGCACTTGATTTTTGCATAACTTATTCAACTTGTATTTTTCTGGTATCCCTCTCCTTGTGTGAACAAAACGCTACCATAGAGGAAAGTTTACTGTATTAGGCAGTCGTAACTATATCATTTTAAACAGTGAGTTTGGCCTAGCTAGGTGGAGACCCATGCTAGAATTTGAAAGACCTCAGTCTGGCTCAGATATTACCCACTTTGAGGTTACCCTGGAAGAGGAAGAAGAAAGATCGTTGCCACGGGTGGCACATGTAGTTCAGAACCGGGCCCTTGCATTCTGACAACCTGAATCTGAATCCTGGTTTTGCCACTTTTTGACTGTAAATTCATGTTCCTGACCAAGGAGTGTAGGGATGGTAAGAGATAAGGGCTACAGCCTCATCTTCTTGGGGGAGGATGGTTTACCTTTTCAACTGCAGCCAACTGAAGAGGCGAGGAGCAAGCCAACAGCTTCCTAGTTCAGAGAACCCAGTTTCCTGGGTAACTGATGCCTGCATATCCAAGCGGGAACTGCAATGCGGACAGTTAGCTATTCTTATCAAGCGCTAGTGAGCAACTCCCATTAGTTAAAAATAGAAATGTCGCAGTTGGAGAGAAGTGGAGTTATATGCTGAAAATATTAACTGTCGCAGAAGACTGACTGCTGGCTCTGATTCGTTTGGAAAGCAGTACCTTTCTGAGGCAGCTTCAGGCTTCTGGCAGTTTTGAACACATTGACCAATCGTCAAGTCATCTGAAAACTGAGAGATAATGTAGGAGAGTATGGGAGCTTCTGAGCCACAAATAGAGGACGCCGAAGGGGAAAGTGAGATTGGCAGGGATGTGATTGCTCTGGACCTAGAGACGAGTATGCTATGGACCATGGCTCTACCCACATCTTACTCCAGAAGCCTTATTTGGTGTGCGGTCTACCTGAGCCAGACTCTCTGAAGGATGGATTAATTAAAGCAGGGCTTTGAATCTGTTCTTCCTGGTTCAGTAATGGCTAATGAAATGAAACCACATCAGACCCAAATTTGCAAAGCATGGGTATACCAGAAGGCTAAACCAGAATGGGAAAATGTGCAGTCAGTGCTCTGCTACAGACTTAATCTCCCACTTAGGAAACAAGGGCAGCACGCACCTTGCATAGCGACTAAAATTCTTGCTTGGCAGAGTCAGAAACAGCGGTGCCCCAGTCAAAGATGGGGCACACCACTTTGAATGTGTCCAGCGCTGGTTAGCAAATCCTGGTCAGATGTCAGGGAGGGTCTGGGAACGAGCCCTGCCTTCATGATCCTCGTCATCCCAGTTTTACAAGACTTTCTCATCAGCTCCTGTTCTTTCTTTTGTTCATCTGTGTAGATCTGGAGCCCCTACAAGCAGCCAGGATGTACGGGAGACCTCGATGGTCGGATTGAGGATGATTCTCGCTGCCTCTACACCCATGAGGAATACATCAGCCTCGTGCTCAACAGCGGGAGTGGCCTGTCTCATGACTATGCCAACCAGTCGGTGCAGGAGGACCCCCGCATGATGGCTTTCTTTGACTCCCTGGTCCGCCGAGAGATTGAGGGCTGGAGCTCCGACTCCGACAGTGACCTCAGTGAGAGCACTATCCTCCAGCTGCATGCTGGGGTCAGCGAGCGCTCGGGCTACACAGACTCTGAGTCTTCAGCTTCACTGCCCCACTCCCCACCCCCTACAGTGGACGAGTCTGCTGACAATGCCTTCCAACTGGGACCCCTGCGGCTCACCACCACAAGTGTGGTGACCTCAACGCCGCCGCCGCCGCCACCTACGTGCGAGGATGCTGCCTCTCGCCAGCAGCGCTTGTCTGCTCTGAGACGCTATCAGGACAAGCGCCTCCTGGCCCTGTCCAACGAGTCTGACTCTGAAGAGAACGCCTGTGAGGTGGAACTAGACGCGGATCTCTTTCCTCGGCCAAGGTCACCCAGCCCTGAAGATGAGTCCAGCAGCTCCAGCAGCTCCAGCAGCTCTGAGGAGGAGGAGGAGGAGGAGCTCAATGAACGTCGAGCCTCCACCCGCCAACGAAATGCCATGCGGCGCCGGCAGAAAATAGCCCGAGAAGAGAAGCCCAGTGCCCCAGCCAAGCCCGCCAGCACCTTCATTGGAGAGGACAACTACGATTACCCCCAGATCAAAGTAGACGACCTGTCCTCCTCCCCGGCCTCTTCCCCTGAGCGCAGCACCTCCACTTTGGAGATTCAACCAAGCCGAGCCTCACCAACCTCTGACATAGAATCAGTTGAGCGAAAGATTTATAAAGCTTACAAGTGGCTGCGCTACTCCTATATCTCCTACTCAAGTAACAAAGATGGAGAGACCTCCCAGGTGGTGGGGGACACAGATGATGGGAGAGCAGGAACTAGCCACAAGGACAGCCCAACCCCCTCTTCCAGTACGGAGGTCTGCCTGAGCCCAGCCACGGCCCAGAGAAATCAAGACCTGCCCCCCGAAGGCCACAGCAAGGATGCTTTGAAAGAAGGGACATCTTCTAGAAACCCCAGCAATGGCCCAGGCCCTGAGCAGAGCGGCCATGGTTGGGCAGAGGTGCCAGAGGGGACCTCTCAGGACATTAACAATAATGGCTCTGTGGAACACCCTTTTGAAACCAAGACGCTCAATGGAAAAGCTTTCAGTAAGGCCATGAACAGCCGAGCTGAGGAGCCGCCCTCTCCTCCTGTCCCTAAGGCATCAGACTCCGCTCCCAGCAGTGGGTCTGGTAACTGCCCCAGGACCCAACCCGATGACAACGAGGAGAGGACCCTCGAAACCGTCTGTGCCAACCATAACAATGGACATTTACACCCCCGGCCTCCCCACCCCCACAACAACGGGCAGAACTTCGGGGAGCTGGAGGTGGTGGCCTATTCTTCTGCAGGGCATTCTGACCCTGACCGTGACAACTTGTCCCTGTCGGGGACACTCCTACACAGAGATTGTTGTGGGTCTGAGGTAGCCTGTGAGACCTCCAGTGCTGGAATGAGAGAGGACCCCACTGACCCCCCAGTCACAGACAGCAGCAATAGAGGTGCCCATGGCCACAGTGGCCTTAAAAGGCACCGAGCAGAATTGGAAGATGGAGATCCAGAGAATTCTTCCTCAGAGAAGAAATTAAAGACATGATCGATACAAAGTGGAAGGGGGGAAGGCTATAAAAAATAGCTTTACAGAGGAAAAAAATCCGGTTTAGTGAACACCGATGAAAGGGAGAGAGGGAGTATTAAAGGCACATGAAAACCAGGGCCTGAACTCTTGTGTCTGAACCTGCTCCCTTCTGTTTAACCACGGGCTTGAATGTTTAGTAGGCCGTTGGCTTGTACTGTATTAAGAAAGGGGGAAACAATCTAGTGAGGCGTAAGCATAGTGTTTCTGTGCAAGGTTCTGTTCGCAAGTAAATCCTTGTTGAGAGTTTGACTTCTTGTGTATGTGTGTGTGCGCGTGCATGTGCACACCCACTGGCACATGTGCGTTCCGCACTTTGCCCAGCTGACTTTAAGTTTTCCATCTGAGTGGATCGATATGGATGTGTACTTGGTGCCATCTCACCTGTTACCTCCCAGGCTATCAATGTTCTGCTTTTAATGAGGAGTGCCGCTCAATTGTGGATTTATGCTGGAAAAACAGGAGAATGGAAACAAGTTATTGGCCAACCAGTTCTTAAAGAACCCTTCCGTGTTCAACGTAGTATTGCTTTGAGCATTTAGTGTGGACGTATGAGGATGCTTCAAAAAGTCTGTGGGAAAATTTCAGTAATTCCATTTTCCCACGGACTTTATGACGTGCCCTTGTACTTAAGGATGTGGTGCATTATTATTGCTAGTGTGAAGTTAGCACTTACAATCAAATTCACAGAGAAGAGATCTCTGACCCCTCTCACCATTTGTGAAGTGACTAATGCTATACATTGTGGAGTGACTAATGCTTTACATACTCAATGGAGGCCACGAAGAAGAACCAGCTGTGGGTACCACACTAACCAGCTAAGTTCTGGTTCCTAAAGCCACACCAAAGGCCGCAGAGGCTTCCTTGGCCCCATGCGAGGGATCTAGGCAGATTGAAAGAAGAGAAAAGGGAAGCTAGAAAAAAGTTTGTATTGAACGCCTAAGGTGAATGCTTACAGGTGTGTTGAAGAGTAGTGGAGAGTGGTACTAGGTTCATTTAATTCATCTTAAAAACCATTGGTCAGAATTGGCAAGACTGGCATCTTCCCTCAGCCTTGCTGTTGATAAAGGCTGTGGTGTTGTGACAAGACCTTGCAAAGCAGTAGGCACCTGGGAGTCACAGTTTCTGAGTAGGTCTGTTGGGAGGTCCGGTATGGGAAAGGAGTTGCTAGTTTAAGCCAGGGCTCCCCAGAGGAGATGGTCACACTGAGCCAGTTGATTGGAGAGGGAAAGGCTACCGACCTGGTATCAGCAAAGGGCTGAGCCAGACAGGAAGAACTAGCGAGGAGTGACCAGCTACTGTGTTAGCATAGATATCCCAAGAAGGCAGACAATATTGGCAAGAATGGAGGAGTGAGAATGAACAAAACCATTTTCTTATATGCAAAGGCTCTACACAACTTGTGGTCTGGCTGGAACTGGCTTAGTGGAGGCCCTTGTGGTGCCTGATGGGCCTATGTCCACCCAGCCTTCCTTTTAGAAGGGGGTGGCCTGCAGCGAGCCTGTGGAGGATGACGATTTGGATGGATGCAAGAATTAGGGGGAAAGGGCTATTTATAAAAGGAAATTTGTTGATCTGAGCCCGAAAGAAGGTGGTATCCTGCTAAGCTTTTTGCACAAGGAAAGATTTGCCTGGTGTGTGTGATGCAAATTGGGTGTGAAAATACCGTCTTGGAAGAAGAAGCTTTCCATTAAACAACTGTGATCATTGGGGGAGCGGGTGAAAGCGATTCTGTACCCAACACCAGAATTACTTTGGACTTGTAATCAAACGGTTCTATGATTTGTGTTTGGCTATTCACAGATAATTGTAAATTCTGGTTTTATAAGCCCAAGTCATTTTACATTTGCTTTTCCAAAATTTATTAAATTGGAATTTTTTAATTCTTTATATACAAAAAAATATATCTATATATATAGTCATTGTGTGTTTCTCTTCCCCTTCCCAGTCAGCATGCCCAAGCCCAATTGTTCCTTTTCATCTAATCCGTAGGTGGGCAACCTCTTCTGGCTTCTCCTAGTACAATCTACAGATCTTCCTGAAGAAAAAGAATAGATTTTGGTTCCTTTGAGAACTAGTCATCTTTAGTTCCCGAAGAACAAAACTTAGGCCTTTCAGGTTAAGAGCTTTCAGCTCATTTGGGTATCTAACAAGAGGCAGTGTGTATTCTGGTTACCTTTAAAATCAAAGTGCAATTGTTTTTAGCAAAGTTGTCCTCCTATCCTTGGGAGAGGCTCTTCCCAGTGTTCTGGGTTCATCTTGCTAGGAGATAGGCCGGCCCCCTGAGGTCTCCTACAGCAGCAGGCAGAAAAATGCTTGTCTTCCCTAGCCACCCACCCTCATCACCAGAGACCGGTGTCTGTGGATGGTCCCAGACACCTGGCAGAAACCACTTCCAGGGTCTCCTTTCCTTCTCCAAAGTCCTTACAGAATTGAGGCCCCAACTGTGGAGGTACATTGAAAACTTGATAGTTTTCTCTGTGTGTCATTACCAAGTGTCAAGTCTCCGGGTCCAGATATGTACAACTTTTCTTTCCACTTGCTTTCCTAGCTGATTTGAGGATTCATGAGTCTCTAGGACAACAAATAGATGGGAAGTTGGCCTGGGCAAATGAAGATGGCAACTGGGTTTGGCCTAATAAGCCGAGAGTCTCGGGTATACGCCAAGGGGCCTTCCTCTGCTGAGGCCTGCCTTCCGCCTGCCGTCTCTTGCCCAGCAATGGTTAACTTAACGCTTGTGTATATGCAGATAAGCCCATTTGCTGCTTATATACTCACCCTCCTCCTCTTCTGTTTGAAATTCATGCCTGTTCCATTCCCTGGCAGGAGAAGTATTTTTTAGCCAGAGGACAATTTTAGCCTAGTTGGAACTAGAAGAAAAACTGGTCTTCCACACCCATTACCATGTATTCTTAACAGTGGTCATTGCATCGGGACGAAGGTCATGACAAGACAGCAAAATGTGGGTTAGGAGGGGTATCCACTAGGCTCCTTTTGTAGCAGGCGTGGAAGGCTAAGGATGGTGAAGTCCTGGAACTGGTACTTGTGTGAGTTGGATCTGAGGAAGCAATGCCGATAAGTGATGTTACACACCACCCTGAAGGAATGGTTTCCCTGCGTTTTCAAATCTCAAGTTTTTCCTGTCCCTATCTCCTAAATGCATGTCCCAGGCATGCACTGCAAACTTTTTTTTTTCTTTTCTGTAAAAGAATAAAAGTAAAACAGGTCCACCCTGTAAAGAAAGCCGCCTCCTACAGGGAACCAAAACTCTTGCCAATGGAGATTCTCATCAGTAAACGGGCTTCCTTCCACAGGGAGGCTGTCCTTCCCTTACGGGACTGAAGCAAGGCCCAGTGCCAAGGTGGAAATGCCACGGTGGAGGACGGCTCCGCTTGGCCCACGGAGCAGGGTGATAGTTTCGGGCAGGCACGTGGGTCTCAGGTGGGCTGTTCCAGGAGAGTGCCGCAGAGGCCCTGCGCACTCCTGGAATGGAGCAGCGGGAACGCAAGTCGTTGGAAACTAATTTTGAATTTCTTTTTTTTTAAAAAGTGCTTCCCACAAGCGACAGAAGAGAAGCACATTTGAAAGGGAAGCCTGAACCGTGCCCACCCGAAATACAAAGGTGGCGAGGAGTTGCTTGAAATGGAGCGAGGCATTAGAAGACAGTTTAGAGGTTTCTCTCCACCCAGAAGCACTAACCCCCAAGTAACTCACTGCCATCCAGTTAACTGAGACTCATAGCGACCCTATGGGTCAGTAGAACTCCCCTTGTGGGTTTTTGAGGCTGTAAATCTATGGGGGCAGAAAACCTCATTTTACAGCTCAGCTGGTGATGTGGAACTGCTGACAGCATAAACCACCAGCGCCACTGCCGCCCCCAGCCCCCGGGCCCTGCAGCACTCACCCAGCATTCAAAAGCAGGAGTTGGGTACCTGATTACTTAACAGGGTTGGTGAACTGAACCAAAGGGCCCTGCAGGGCTTCTCTCTAAGGTATCCACCATCGTGGGAAATGGAGCAGTAGATGGGCTTTCAAACTCCCTAGACGTGAATGTGGCTGCTTTCATAGAGTGCAGAGCCGTGAGCTGCTGGGATAGACCAACCGAAAGAGAATATTAGCTTAGAAATGTCTCCCTATTCACCCAGCAAAGCTAAGGGAAGGCAACAAAACCGTAAGCTATCCAGACCCAGGATCCTTAGCAGTAGAGAGGTCTTTAGAGAATCTGGGAGTGAGACATTAGGGGGCAGTGCAGTCGGATGACTACAGTGGAAGAAAAGGTTTCTGTAGCTTCTCGGATCCATTGAACTGGCACCAAGCCTGTCATCAGATTGGCCTCAACAACAGTTGGTCATCACGATGCTCCACCTCCTAGGGTAAGTCCAGAAGTTCCGTGACTAGGATTTCAGTTCATAAGTGCGCGGAGTTGTGCTAAACCACGGCTTTCTGGTCTCTCGATAAGGTGCCTTCCCACACCGTCCACTCAGAGCCCTGCTTCTGAAGGCCTCTATCTGCTGGGCCAGTGGAATTCAAGGCCGAGAGGTCTGCTCAGAAGGTGATGGGAACTGTTCATTTGGGGGGATTCCGAAAGAATTTTCTTTTTTCAGATTTTATTTTTTTTAATTTCCCAAGGAACAATGAACAGACCATATATTATATATTGGATCAAAAGACTGGACAGTATTATTTCAGTGTGAAGTCAAAATTACTAGTTAATACACACTGGTCAATGCTCTGAAATGACTTGCCATTTTAAAAATAACCGTAGCAGACCTGAGGAGTAGTAGCCGGTTAACTTCCAGTAACACCGTCAGGAGATTTCAGGGCTTGGACAGATGCATTCTCTCTATCAGATGTACCATCATCAAGTTGCTCTGTAATTGAAGGTGTCCTGCTTCTACTTCTCGTTGTGTTGAAGAATTGGCGGACGCCTGAGTAAAAGCCAGCGCCAGCTGCTGCCGTTCTTCGCTGATCTTTTGCTTCAGTTTCTTAAACATGGCGCAGCACACTGGGTCCTGAGTGTGAATGAAACCGGAGGGGCAGGTGCCTAGGGAGTCACTGGCGCACAGGCGGCGCCTTCTCTACACCAGGAACTGTGGGGGCCGGGAATCGCCGCCTCCTCTCTGGGCTTGCAGGTACCTCCGGACACTTGTCCTGCAGGAGTGTGCGTCGCCGCCACCGTGTCTCCGAAAGCGTTATCTTGATCGATTTTCTCAAAGGACAGGATGATTAATGAAGAGCTTTAAAGAAAATTGAAAAGGCCAGGAAAAGTTGTGCTGTGGAATTTTATTTCCATCACAGCAATGTCCCTGCGCATTCTTTGAAATTCTTGTTGAGGAATTAACCCTGTTCTTGTCCCTTCAGACTTTCCCTTTGTTTCCAAAACTCGGAACATTGGAAAGAACACAATTTGAAGCCCCTCGTGGAAGCTGAAACTAGGGTAGCGAGTGAAAACTGGATTGCCTTCAGAAGTGTATGGTCCTAGATGGAGGGTATGTGGAGAAACAATTGTTGTTGTGAGCTGCGTGCCATCGAGTCAGTCCCACCCACAGCAGCGCTGTGCACGTCATCACACCGCCCAGTTCTGCACCATCCTCAGTTGTTCCTGTGCCCGAGCCCACTGTGCTACCTCTGTCAGTCTGGCTCCGTGAAGGCTCCCTCTCTCTCACTGCCCCTCCACTTTACCAAGCGTGACATGTCAGGGCCTGGTGCTTTCCTGACATGTCCAAAGTATGTGAGACGGAACCTTGCCATCCTGGCTTCGCAGGAGCACTGGCTGTGCTTCCAAGTCACATGTGTGTCCTTTCAGCAGTTCGTGGTATTTTCAACCTTCTTTGCCGGCATAGCTTCACATTTTGACACTTAATAAAGGTGTCTGCGTTTTGTAGCAATACTTTTTGACCTATACGTATGTGTGCACATGGCCCTCTTTTTCTTGTCATCTAACTACATATATAGATGTTGTTAGCTGCTGTCGAGTTGATTCTGATCGTATATGGGGTTTCCAAAGCTGTAGATCTCATCTTTCTCTCAGAGCAGCTAGTGGGTTTGAATCAGCAACCTAGATTAGCAGTCCAGCACGTACCCAACAGAGCCAGCCAGGGCTTCTTTTGACCCTCTGCCATCCTCATGATCATTGTTACATTTGACCCCTCATTGCAGCCACTGTGTCAGTCCTCCTTGGTGAGGGCTTTTTCACTGACCCTCCAGTGACCAGTCCCTCCTGAGAGCCCATCCAGAGAGCATGAGACCAAGTCTTGCCCTCCGCAATCCTAAGGAGCACTCGGGCTGTACTTCTTCTGAGCCAGGCCTGCTCGCTCTTCTGTCAGTCTGTGGTGGTGCACTCCGTAGTCACCACCACCCTAACGCAGAGCCACAACTCCTCTCTGGCCTTGCATTTTATAGCGGTGTACATGGGCTGCGAAAGGTTTGTGGGAAAATGGAGTGAAAAGAATGGAGTTTTCCAAATCTCACTGAATAAACAAGATGTATGTTTTAAGAAAGAAAAAAAAGATCGTGGAATTTCCCCATCAACTTTGTGAAGCCTACTGGTGTCTAGAGCCTCAGTGAGGTGAGCTCACGTGGCGGCTGCAAAGACGGGCAAGTGTGAGGTGGTGGAGGGGGCAGAGGGTCTTCTGTTGGTCATGGGTCGTGATCTGTTGAAACGGGCCGAGGGCACTGGACAGCAGCTTCTGTCTGAAGGTGTGTCTCTGCATAGAGGCTTCGAGTTGAGACCAGTGCTTGATACATAGAAAGCACTAACTGCCGTCTAGCATGTTACTGTCAACGTGTGCACACCACACCGAAGGCTTTTTTGGACGAGCTTTGTGCAGAAAAACGTTCCTTTTCCTTCAGGAAAGGAACTTGCCCGTCGTTAGGCACTCTTCATCTGAAACCACCAGTGAAT